TCAGCAGAAACCACCACCACCACCACCACCACCACCTCCATCCCCTTCCCTTACAAGTTATGTCGCACCCCCAGAACTGTCGCTGGGGCGGGCCCGGCGTTTCGCCTTTCCTGAAGCATGAACTTGCGCAACAACTACAAGGACAGAACACAGGTCGTACTCTTCAACTCGAGGGACACACGCAGCATGCTCTTGAGCGGTTCCTCAGTTGTGAATCAGACTTCCTCGCAATGCTCATCATTATCTTGAGGCCTCATGGAGCTTCCTGGGACCTCCTGGGAATGGTGCCTGGGATATGCTAGGGTGACCTCCTCATCCTCCCTCATCTTCATTCCTCGTCTGCGAACGCCTCATCCTCTTCCACCTTCTCCATCACCATGTTTGTTGTGCTTGCTCTTCCTCCTCCTCCTCTTCTTCCTCCTCGTGCTTCTCCTCTCCCCTCCGGCCACATGTTCGCTCGAATCATTCTGCCTCAGGCGGCCCTCCTCCCTGAAGGGGAATTGAGACACACAAATAAACACACACAAATAAAAATATCCCCCATATTTTCCTATATTTTCTGGGTTTTTGTCTTCCCCCCCCACTTCCCAGATTTTCCCATATTTTCTGGGAATCGCCGATTAATTGTGTCTGTGTGTTTTTCCCCTCCTGACTCCCGTCTTCCCCTCCCGCGATGCTCCTCGGCGTGCGCCGGGCGTCACCCGCGGCTGGCATGCGAGGCGAGAGGCGGGCTGTGGCTACTAGGGCTCCCAACTTCGCGCTTCGCGCTGCGCGAAGCGCGAAGCGCGAATAACTTCGCGCTCTCGCGCCGCCCCCCCAAAGGGAGAATAGGAGGACGAGGAGGAGGGGGAGGAGAAACGAGGACCGCGAAGCGCGAAGCGCGAATAACTTCGCGCCCTCGGGGGAGCCCTTGCCTACGACGCCGTCTCCGTCGTCGGCGGATCGTCGGACGGCCTGCCGCCCTTCGTAGACTCCCACGGCCGCTGCCTGGCCGTCAGGGAGGGGCTGGAGGATTGCACGCCGCGCTGGACGAGGTGGCGGGCGTGCACAGCCACGGCCTCGGCGCGGTGCTCGCGGCCGCGCGGCCCGAGCTCGCGCCGAACGGATGGAAGGAGGCCAAGCACGTCAAGCGGCACCGCGACACTGCCGTGCACGGCCCCTTCCGCTCCCTGCCGGAGGCTCTGCTCGGGATGCTGCTGCCGATGCCCTCCGGGCCCGGAGCCTGGCATGGCGTGGAGCGCCTCCTGACAGCCCTGGCGCAACAGACCCACAAGTGCGTCGTGATCGAAGTGTCTGCCGCGATCTCCGCCAACCAGGCTTACGGCCCTGGGGTGTGGGACCCCATTGTCGTGCACGCGAAGGCGCATGGCGAATTGAGTTTCCTGGACTCTGAGTCAGTCGACGTGGCATCGAACACAGCGATCAGCGACGTCGTTAGCAGGCTGAGCTCTGAGACTGTCGAAGATACCAAGCGAGGCTTGGATGTGGTAAACTCGACCGCCTCAATCTCCTCGGGTGTTTTCGAGACGGCTGGGGCCATCAGTACTCAGCCTGACCCCGCTGCAAGAGACCACCTGGCGAGCAGTGCTGGTTTGTGTTCAAAGTGTTTGACAGCGCAGGGGGACACCGCTCCCCGCCCCGCGGCAACACCAGAGATAGAATCTGAAGGGCAATGCAAATCCAAACCCGCTCCGGTCCCTGCGCGTGTGGCGAGACCGCGCTTGGATGCCGAAGCCCTACATACCGCCACGCTGGTTCCGGGCAAGCAGCGCTGTCTGGCGGAAGGGGACGAGGGGGGAAGAAGCCCGCAAGTGTGGTAGGCCTGCTCGAGCCAGCAAGGTCTGTTCGGCCTCGCGGCGCGAAGGCTTCTCCGAGGGCGGGCGGCACGGCCGCGTCCTCGTCAGGGCAGCTGCCCCCGGCGGAGTGCAATCAGGTGTAAAGGGATCGCCGCCCTCCTCCACGAGCCCCTGGTGCCGGGCCTGGCGGAGCATGGATGGCGGCCGCGCCGCGGGTCGGGGCCTCGTCGTGTGTTGCTTTTTCCCCGGCCCGGTCCTCATCTTCGCCGCCGTACTGGAGGAGTTCCAGGAGTGTCGTGTGTCGTGACGTGGTTGAGTGCAAAATTCCTCTCCTTCCATCTTCTGAATATTTTTATCCTTATGATTAAAACTAATATTATGATTCCTCCTCCTCCTCCTTCCGAACATCCCCCTCCCCTCACAGAATATCATCCTGTCCCTCCTCCTCCCACGTATCCTCCTCCTCCTCCCAAGTATCCTCCTCCTCCTCCTCCCAGAAAATCCTCCTCATCGTCATGATTCCTCTACTTCCACATCGGGGAAACGGAGCGTCCGCCGAAGGCCAGGTCGCAGGCGGCTGTCCGTCTTGGCGCCCACGCGCGCAGTTTACCCATTGGGCAGTCTTGCCCCCCCCCCGAGGGAACCCGAAAAACACGCAGAACAGCAAGCCATTGACGCCCCCGTGTAATTAGGATGTCTCCGGCGAGAACCTCGCTTTCGAAGACACATATTCGAAACTCTCTGGACTTCTCAACTTTCGGATGATGTCAACACCGACATCCGTATTTTTACATAATACCTCATGGCAGATCCGTGCACAAATGACAAACTCCGAAACTCGCAAGGATGGCTCAGGCGAAGGCACAGTTCGTGAAGACACGTCGGATTCACAAGCTCATTGGACGTGTCACATGTCGATGTTCTGAAGATGCCTGCCACAAAACCAACTGTGTAAATAAACGATGTCGGGGCCAATGTCGGTGAGGACCCCTCAGGCACAATCCTCAATGTTGATAACATGCTGCATGTTTTCGATCGGCAACAACCCGGGTTATCCTGTGGTGCGGGGGGGAGGGGCCGGCCGATAACCGAACCTTCGCGCTGTGGGCAGCCCCGCAACCAATGAGGTGAGGTTATCCCGGGGGGGGGGGGGGCGAGCCCGAGAAACCCGGCTCACACACCTCGTTGAACTGCGTGTCAATACCTTGCCGAACCCCCCCTTACTCTTAACAGGGACGCAAGGCAGTTCCTTGAGACAACGCGGCTGTCGCCTGAATGGAAGGCCCGTGGCGAAGATGAAGGCTCGCAGGGACTTATGTAGAGGGGACTTGGGCCAGAGGGTGTTTTGCATCTTCGGTCTACTCTAGTCCTCCTCCTGTCGCTGTCGCTGATGGTTTTCGAAGCCCAGAAGATGTACCCCCCCCCCAGCGGCCACCTCCTCCACTCTTCCTCCTCCTCCTCCTTATCCCTCCCCCATTCGTGCTCGGCCTCCTCCTCCTCCTCCTCTTCCTCCTCCTCGCAGTTGCATCCTTCTGCGCGGCTTTAGGCCGGCGCTCAAGGGCACCCCCTCACACTGCAGTGGGGTCGCGCAGAGCGCGAACATGTGCAGAGGCACCTGCGTCATCGCATTCTAGAATACACCTCCTTCCTCTGCAGACAGATCCGGCTCCGGCGACGGCGTTTGCAGGACGACCCTTTCATACTATTCGGCTTGCTCGTCTTCTTCTCTATTCATGACCTGTTCTTCGCGTTCTTCCGCGACTTCATGCCAGATGTTCCGAATGAGAGGGCCGTTTCCCATCGTCTTCCTCGTCCTCCTCCATTCCTCCGCTCGCTCTTCTCTCCCTCACCCGCCCAGCCGGAAGAGGCAAGCAGGTGCAGCGAGGCCTTATGCCTGATGATCGTGCTTTGTATATAACGGCAGCGATCGCTGTGCGTTCACTGCGGGGGTGATTGCTGGGGATTCTTCGAATCCTTACGTGTCTGTAGTGGTTGCATACATCAAGGCGCACACACAACTTAATTCCGTACAGCCCAGCAGCTTGAGATGCTCGCTCAGTCAGCCGAAGCCCCAGTGCAGCTCAAGAACCCTGTCCAATTTTCAGCCGCGTCAGTATTGGCCGGGTCCATCGCTCTGCTGGCATGCCGGGCCGTCCGGGGGGAGGCGGCCGCCGTACCATGCTCAATTAGTAGAGCCACCAGGACGTCCTGAGCTGGTGAAGCTTCCCAGGCTGATCGCCCAGGCTCGTCTCGTGAGGGTGTGGTTCTGTTGGGCCGGGAAGGGCAGTGCAGTAGTAAGTAGCGCCTCGGCGGCGTGCTGGGGGGGCAGAACGCTCGCGCAAGGGCCTGCGAAGGTTGGGCTAGACGCTGGGTCGGCACGCATCCTCGGATCCACAGCGACGTTCTCGGGGACGGGTCAGTGGTAGAGGAGAGGGGTGGTGGTGAGGAGTTAGGAAATTGCAGCGCCATGCCGGCGCATTTCCCAGATGTACGTTCGGTCCTGGGCTTGGAGGGCCAGGCCAGACGCTGAGCCGGCACGCCGCCGCGGCGGGAGAAAGAGCCGAGCTAGACGCTGGTCCGGCACACTGCCTCGAGTCTACCACGTTCTGGGGGGGGGCCGGGAGGTGAAAGGAGAGAGGTATGGAGGGTGGAGGGAAGGAGGAGCGAGCGACTGTTGGGAGCTTGAGGGGAAGAGTGGCAGAGGGGGTAATGGCAGCAACACAGCATAGCGCAAAGCGCAGAGTGGGAATTGCATTGTATCACATTTTGGCTCCTCGCAGTTGCATCCTTTTGCGCGGCTTTAGGCCGGCGCTCAAGGGCACCCCCGCAAACTGCAGTGGGGTCGCGCAGAGGGCGAACACGTGGAGAGGCATCGGCGTCACCGCATTCTAGAGTACTCCTCCCTCCTCATCCTCCTCCGCCTCCTCCGCCTCCTCCTCCTCCTACTCCTCCTCCTCCACCTCCTCCCTCCTCCACCTCCTCCCTCCTCCACCTCCTCCCTCCTCCTCCTCCTCCTCCTCCTCCTCCTCCTCCTCCTCCTCCTCCTCCTCTTCCTC